CACCACCATCACCATCATCATCATCATCATCGCAGTGCGTTCTAACCTCATTTTACCTTGCCTCAGCCTGGAAAACCTTCACAACGAAACCCAACACCGTTTCTTCAGGGGCAGCACACTCTGGTGCATACTACCTTTGACTCAAGATCATATGGCTTGAATCCCAACAGTGCAATTCCAAGCCCGCGGAAGTTGAATCCACAAAGCCAGATTTTCGTTGCCACGCGTCGTTGAGGCCTGAAAGTTGAAGGTTGGCCTGTAGGGGGTGAAGGTCCAGCGGACGGAGCCGTCCTCCCTGCTCGGGCTTAAGGCTTTGGGGATTTAAGTGCTCCAGGGCCTTTCTAGGGGAATAGACAGGATTCAGAGGACTTACACGCGTTGTGTACGGTATGGGGTTTCTGAGGCTGAAGCTTTCAGGTACACGGGCCTAGGAATTGGAATGTTGAAGTTTCTGGATTAGGTTCCCGCTGCTCAACTGCAGGCAAGGAGGACAAGATGACCAGGTTAGCGCCATTCATGGGCGAAGCGCTTCATCATGGAAACGCGGGTTACCCGCTTTGGATGCAAGATTATTTGGTCAGCGAGGTAGAGTGTTTGGGGTGTCAGGTTTACAAGCCCGAATAGAAGGAAAGAATATCTAATTAGCACACGACTGTCTTTGGGCCTTCATACTTTCATACTTTAGCAACATCACAAGAATCCTCTTTCCAACAATAGGATGACATGCATTAAATACTCCAGAACCAGAGGCTTCCCAAGCTCTGCTAGTGCAACTGCGCGGAAGCACAGCCCAAAAGCGTCAATTTCAAAATGGATTCAGTTAACGTAAGTGGCCTGGGCTAGGGGATTCTGCGCAACTTACGTTTTGGGTTGTTCCACACTGTGGTCCCTTTGTAGGGCCCTCACAACAAGGATCCCTCAATTTCCGTATACGGCGCCCCTCGTTTTGAGTCTTGTAGCTTTGGAATGTTCATAGGAGATGTGCGATGCGGCTTGGCACTTGATTGCTATCGGGAATCGTAGGCCGGTCTTTTTAAGTTCAAGCAAAGATTGCCAGGTCCCTGCGAATCCTGCATTTCACGGGTTAGGTACTGTTTTTTTTATGCACGTCAGAAAAACCAGAAACCACGAAAACGAGGGTTCGGGATGGTTTAGGTAAAAGACCTGCAACGGGACTTGGTGCACGCCCCTGCTGATGCAAAGAGAACGCTTATGATGGTACCCTCTGAGGCGTTGACATGCTCAAAGCCACCACGCGGTTGTTGTCAGACTGCCGGCTTTGTGCATCGGGTTTAGGGGCTGGGTTGGAGTTTGGGGTGTTGGGTAAAGGGCATGCTGACGTTTCGAAACCTACTGTGAAGAAGTATTGAACAGGAGGGTACCCTCAAGAGATCCTCGACATAGGAAGGGTTCTCTTAAGAAAAGGCGGGACTCGCGGCAACATAGACCATCAGTTCTTCATCATCTGCATGTCATGAAAATTGGGCTTGCACTCTCTTGTTGTTGGCGGCCATTCATGGTATTATTTAATGCTGTTGAAATGTTAAGTTTTACGTGTTCACGGTCTGAGCTGGGGCTTCCAGGTGGAAGAGCTTGTGGATGCGGCAGTTTAGCGTTATGTATATCCTCTCAAATGGAAGGAGGTGTGGATCTGCGAGGCTAGTGTGCTAATCAAATCTGAAGTCCTGCATGCTCAGTGACTCCCCTCACAGAAATGTGAATCCTATTCTGGGGATCTTCTTGCTGGGCATATAGGGGAATTTTTGTGGGGGCTCCATGCTTGTTTCAGGGAGGCTACGTCTCACTATGCAGGGCCGCCTCCTTGGTGCTTTCGCCACTGCCTCACCACAAAAGGTGGAATGGTGGCACAATGGTGGACTTGACCGTGTTCGGCTCTCAACGCCAGAACCCTGAAATATGCAACCTTCAATCACCAATCTCCTACCACATAGGCTCCTAAACCCCTTCAGGCTGACCTATTCATCCCTAAGATCTAAACTCCTAAACCCACGTCCAAACTCCTGAGCCCTTAGATCTACATCCCCAAAGACAAAATGGAGTTGCCTGGAATTGTGCGAGTGGATCTGCCAATTGTTTCAATGGCACCTGATCGCAATTTCAAGCAGCGAGAATATGCTATACTACTCGTGGCCCCTACTCTTGCAAGAGCCACCACAACATGTAATTAAGGGCTGTACATGTAGCCTACATATGTATATATATATATACATAATTACCTATGTATACATACATATATGTATATACATACATATATATCTCTCTCTATGTACCTAGGTACAACTGTGCTTGAATTCTTTCACAAAAAGCCCCTATACATTCTCAAGGTTGGAGGCCCCTAAAGTCACCTTTATGGATTGTCATTCGAAGCATGTGAGGCTCTTCTAGAGATTTGTAGGGTTAGTAAAGTGCAGTTGCCTGATGAATGAACCACTCACCCCTACCAGGCAATACAATTGCAATCCGATCACTTCGGTCCTTCAATCACAGATCGTCAAAGCATTGCTAGCTCTCAGCTAAGCTGCAGGGTCCGTTATCGAGACGATCACCTGTTTGTTAGGCTCGGGGGCTTTTTGGACAATATGCATGGGGAGGTTCGAGGTCTGTGGCTCAGGCACTTTCGAATTGCGGTCAGCAACCAAAAACGAGCGATCAATCTTCGGGAAACCTGATCAGAAATTCCGGTAAAGGCTTGAATGACTTGCGTGAAAACGGGGAGTTGTTGTTCATCTCAGGGCCCAAACACCGGAAGCGCCCTGAGAAGCAACGAGCCGCCTCAAGGAGTCAGGCGACAATGACACCCGAGGCGCTGACTTAATCCCTATACTCTAAGCCTTGTGTCCTCTTGTGAACTGAAACGCTGCGACAACGAATCAACAAAAACATGAGGTCTGTCACTTACACACGGCTTGTGACAGCAAATATGTTTTGGTCAGAAAATTGCTCTTCAATAAGAACGATGGTAGGTTTAGGGGCTAGGGTTCAGCGTCTATTGGATTAAAAGGAAAATCACATTGGGACGAGAAGTCAAATTGCTGGTAAGTCTTCAGGCTGCTGTAGCAAATAAGATTACGCATTCGCAACGCAAATCCAATGAAGACCACCCGTGTATGTTTGCTTTTTACCTGCCCCTGTTATTCCCACCCCCCAGTCGGGCCTGTTCGCATTCCCCAGGATCATCATAAATCATGTGCGTTAAGCGGGTATTACACATCCAACCTAGCATCCTTTTCATAGCGCCATGAGGACTCTCCAAGAGGGACATCTGGAATCCACGGCCCCTCTACTATACCTCCAACCCTGATCCTGGGACCTTGAACCCTACCAAATCCTGAAACCGTGTTCTCCAAAGCCGAAACCCTAATCCCTAAGCGGAATCCTACATGTCAACCATCACAAATTTGACAACGACACCCAACATCGAGGCTGTCCGAGTGGCGAGGTTGTCTGTAATCAGGTTGCAGTCGCATGCAGTGGCCACTTGTTCCGTAATCTGAGGAAGCATTCTGGCGTTTAAAGTTGAAAGGCCTTTGGGTGGATATCTCAAGGAATTACCGGCTAATGTTGCTGTTGAATCTACAGATCTCAACCTGATTGGCGCCTGATCTTGGAACATTTCAATGACACACAATAGCCATGAGCATCCTTGTCTTGCAAAATGGGATCCTGCAGCCCTGAGAACAAAGCTTTGCTATCAAAGATTTTCTTCGATCCCTGCATAAAGAATCTTGTTTCAATTGTTGCGTGGCATGAAACTCTTGCTCATGTCCCAGCTACCTTCCCTGAATTACAAGGTTCCTACATGGCGCTATCTCCACGGCACTAGCTTCGTGTCAAATTGTGGGCCCTACGGAGCCTACGCCCTACACTTTATGCTTACAATTGTTGCCAAGGCTCCTTTCTCACCCAGACTTCTTCACCTCGGGTTGTCGGATGCTGGGTAATGCTTCCGAGTTCTGAGGACACAGCTACTTCCCCTGAAGCATGACGGACATGCAATTGAAATCTAGATGCAAAGCCTGAAAGGAGGTCGAACGAATAAAACTTGATTTTGACTGCAAAGATTTACCATGTAGCAGAATCTTAAATACAGCACACATGCTTGAGCCGCTTCTAGCGGTTTCAAGTGTCTGCAAGCCTCAAAACTTTCAATGCCAAGTGATTTGCAGGACCTTGCAACAAGAAAACTTAAACTTGGCAGTCTAAGACAAGGAACCATGACAGCATTACATGAAATCGAATTTAGGCCATTTGATTCTCATGTGATCTACACTCAATGTTGAAACCTGTGGATGTAACGGGGAGTATATCCAGGATATACTGGGTTACTAAGAGGTACCCATTTGCATCTCCTAGGTAACCATGATGTTTGCAAAAGCTCATGTCCGGATCTTCTTTCGGTATCATCTGCAGGGGACTTTGGCCCTTGTTGTGTGTAAGTTACGCTCCCCCCAAGCAAACTATGGAAGCACAACGGGGTGCATGTAAGGACGGTTGTCCTTTGTTTTTGCTGGATCAAGTGTGGTTTCGTGCTCGTTGAATCCCGTCAAGCCTTGGTGCAAGGCCCCCCGACACTAGCTTCGCCTTGGGAAGGTTCTTGTGTTGCTGTTTTTGACGCTTTCGATTCAATTTTCGGCTGTCAGGGTCCTTGTTCCTGACAACGGTGCGTAGAAAGAAACCACCAAAATCTAAGTATTGTCCTGAATGTATGAAACGCCCTCAATCCAAAATTGGAAGCCCAAAGTTTGGTTAGACCTTAGCCAGCTGTCATCTGCCAAGCTTCCAGTCTCCAGATCAAGGGCGATTACAAAGCCCTTCCTCTTCAGGGAAAGCCGCTTGGCATTTTCAATGGTTCTAAAAATCATTGGCTTAAGGTTTTGAGACTTGGCGTTGTGATGTGGTCGGTTGTTGGGTTGGTCGGTCGGTTGGTTTTCGCATTGTCCTCGCCATTCGGTGCCCTCGACGGGTGTACACGCTTGATGTCTTCCTATTCCATGTTGATATGCAACGCTGAGAGCAAGGCTGGCAAGTGAAGAGCTGCTGTATTCAATCTAATGGACGTTTATGCAAACAAAAACATGTACCGGTTCCATTTCGGAATAGAAACCTGGACTCTATGGTTGCCGGTTTAAGGGTTAAGTTGCGATCCGAGTTGCTTCGCACTAAGCAAAAAAACATCACCCGTCTACAGATTCGAACCAAGACGAGCTTCGCACGTCAGCTGGGATGTGTCTCTCCCCTATTCATATGCTATGAATATCACTCTAGAGATCGCGTCAGGAATGGCAGGAACACAGCGGCAGAAGTGGCAGCAGGTGTCGGAGGCGAGGGGCAAGCTTCTGTTACGGAGTGGTACTTAGTTGCAAGTGCGTCGGTTGCAAGTGCGTCAGTGGTGATAAGTGTGTATGTATTTTGAATGCCCCTCTATCAGGCTGCAACGCTTAAGCTTCTGATTGGGCATGAACCTCTAGTAGCATCTGAAGCGACATAGGCCTGACAT